TTTCCTACACGTTTCCTGTAGCTTCTCTCTGACAAGCAGAAGCTGAATTTCTTGCTCATAGGGGGTCATATGATCGTTGGGTTTTTCTCTGTATCTATTATTGTACGATCTACTGCACAATATAAACCGCCTTGAGGTGACTGCTGTTGTGATTTGGCGCTATATAAATAAAATTGAATTGAATTGAATTGTGTTAAATACACTTGAGAAATCAAAGAAAGTGATCCTTAATGTGTAGGTATTGCTATCAAGGGGAATTAAGGCCTCTAGATTAGATTAGATTAGATTAGATTAGATTAGATTAGATTAGATTAGATTAGATTAGATTCTATAGAACTTTATTAATCCCTCGGATGGGTTCCTCCAGGAAATTCAGTTTCCAGTTGCAGAATATCGAGAGAAGTTCCATGTTACAGAGTTAGAATATAAATATAAATAGAGGGGGATGTAAATGCATGTAAATGGTCCAGTCATCCACTTTCAGATTTGGCATGTCTGTGAATTGCACAGATGTTTCACCTGTGGTCTTCAGCAGGCTGAGACTATTTTCTCCAGTACCATCATCACAGTGATGTTAGGGAAACAGGTCAATAAATAAACCAGTGCTGTGAAACTCATCCTGGTTTTTACACTGAAAAAGTCACAAGCATCTCAGTTTAGCAACTATCAACTGTTACATCACAGCTTATGAAAGTTGAGTCATTTCTCCTTACTTTTGATTCATAGCACTGTAATATAAACTGGATCACACAATGGTTCATGCGTGATAATAAATTGATACAATACGGTCACTCTACCCTAAATATGTTGTCAGAGACTGGGTGGGTATTAAAAGGTAAATAGGATTATAAATTGTATCAATAATGCAAAATATTGTATCAACTATTGTAACGGAATTCCTTGGAAATGTTAAATACAGAGTTAAAAAGTTTTGTATTTACTAATTAGATTGTGTAAAACGTCATTCTGACTTAACTCTGCTTTAAGTCAGTTTAGTTTTAGGTTGTTTCCAAAGTGGATTTTCTTGTTTCAGTTTAGTTTTTATTGTTTGAAATGTTTTTGTTTTACTTTATTAGTTTATTAGTTTCTGTGTTTATTTTGTTCTTTATCATTTATTATTTATTATTAGTTTTATTATTGGATGAAGAGTTCAGTACAGCCATTACGTCTTGAAAACAGTTGACTGCAGTCTTTTAGCTAAAGTCTCAATGAACACATTTAAAGCCTCATTAGGCAAGTTGTGATTAAATCCTTACCAAACTAACAGATGGTAAAACTAAGAATATTCCCTATATTTATTTTTTTTTTATTTTGCTTTTTTAGTTCTCCAATCTTACAAAATTGTTTCAGTTAATTACATTTTCAGAAATGTCAAAAGTCTAGTCTAGTTCTTATTTTTATTTTAGTTAATTAATATGTTTTTTCACATTACAAGTTTATTCACATTAAAAAAAATCATCATTATGATTACTGGTGGCAATTTTGAAAAGAAAACTTAAATGAAAGACCAATTAACTAGTGCAAATGAAAGAGCCAGTGTGACACGCGCGCGCACACACACACACAGACACACACACCTTTCTCACGCATTCAGCCACTACCTCTGTGCAAATGTAAAAGATACAAATGGCAGTGGAACAATTTTAATTTTTTTATTTTTGTATAAATTGTGTAGGGGAAAAGAGAAAAAAAACATTTTTGTTCCATCCTAGAAAATGTTGCCAAGTCTTCGTTGTTCATGAAAGAGAGGAGATGCGTCAGTGCTCACCACGAATGCTTCCTGGATGCTGGTTCACATTTTGTGTATATGTATGTTTGCTACTGGAGGTCTTAGAGGGAAAGGCGACGTGATGTTTAACTGCACGTGTATGCACAAGAGACTCGGCATCTGATCTGTTGTTGCAAAGAGCTACATTCAAGTGATTGTCTTTTACCTCCTTGCACAGACTAAAGTTACATATATATATATATATATATATATATATATATATTATAAATATATATATTTCCATATATATGAACCTATTAACAAAGTGTCTTGAAAATATACCCAGGAATACAAACATCAGTAACAAATAGCAGTCTGTACTTTTTAATGTTTTTCTTTTGTTTTTTTAAGTCATTGTATAATTGACATACTTTGTGTCACCGATGAATGAATCATGGCAGTGTGTTAGTGTGCGCTGGATGAAGATGATTGTAATTAAGTCCACATTCCAGGATGAAAAAGCCTGGGATGATATCCGTGGCCTTGGATTAGCCTACTGCAGGACACCCTGGACAGGAGCTGGGGCTTTGTTCTGAAACTCTTCTGGAGTAGAGACAAGCTTCTGTGAATTTCCGGTCATCCTCTAAAAAAAAAAAGAACCTGCGACCAGTAATTAGCCGAGAACGGTTGCTTTCAACTTTTGTTCCTCGTCTTTTGATTGTAAACATACTTTCAGGAAAGGCCAGGGAGACCGTCTGATGGTACGTACTTCTGTGGGAGGTTGGATTTTTTTTTTCTTTCCTTCACTGTATGTAATTACATGGACATGTAATTTAGGTTAATGCTCATTGTTAAGTGCATTCTCAGGAAGGAGACTGATCGGCTTCCTGATAAGCATTCCTTTCTCCATTCCTTTGCTTTGCTGCTAACCATCCGGATTTTTAGTCTGGGAAGTGTGGCTCTATGTCTCACTGCTCACCGTATTGCTTTTAATCACCTCAGCTTGTCAGCCATACCTACCATATCACTGCATGGTGCTCACACACACACAGACACACTTAACCAAGAGGAAACTCTGGCTTTAGTCCTCAAATGTTAACAGTATTCATCACATTTTTTCTTTAAATTCTGTTTTTTTTTCTTGCTTATTTGCTTTTAACATCCTGCTCTGTTAAATCGCCATGTAAGTTGGAACAATCATATTTCATTTGGAGAATTTCTTTAACTGGCAAAAACCCACGTTTGTGGTTCTGATTGTTTTGTTATAATTCGATTTCTTTTTGATATAAGGAATTAAATGGATTTTTATAGTAGAAATGTACGATGGCCGTGTCTGTCATTTGGAAAGATGGAGAGGAGAAGCAGTCTACTTCATACTTCAGTACATTAGGAAATAGCCTCACTTATCATTAAAGAATGAAGAAATAAAACACAAACATGTAGAAAGCACTTGTTTGGATGTTGCTTAATCTGGAAAGGCTTCTGAATTGTAATGAAAGTCTTTGGTCTTGTTACATAAATCATCATATTTATTAAACAGGAAGTGTTGTCTTTCAGTCAACAGACAATCCCAAGAATAGCTTTTTCTTAAAAAAAAAAGTATGTTTCTTTTGATTTCAGTACACACAAGAATAGTGTTTTATACAATCTTGAGCCAAATTTAAGTAGTGTTAAGATGTATTGCTCCCTTTGTGCCAATGTCATGCAAGTCTCTAAAGCTGTTAGGAGGAATAATCTGTATTAAAACGGATAAGAAAAAGAAGCTTTAAATGCACTTCATCCTTCATCTGTTAATACATTTAGAGCAGGCTAACCAAACAGCAAGTGTGCCTTTGAAACAGTAGTCCACCTGGAGTCTCCTTCATGCGTCTGTCACCTCCTAACTGTCACGCACGGTGTGACAGGAAGTGTTATCAAGGCACGTAATATTCTGTTTTTAACCACCACTTGGTCAAGGCACAAAACTCTGGGGACTCTCGTGTCAGCTGTTCTGATGTACTAGAGGTAAAAAGGAACTAACATACCTTTAAGCTTTTTTTGTGCCTTCAACTTGCATATTGTTGTCAGGATTATAAGGCTAATGTTATATTACAAGGCGGTAAAAAATACAATCTTTACCAAATGAAAGATGTAAAATAAACAAATTATGGCTGACTGACGAGAAATAACACAAAAAGGCACTTCTTAAGCGGAACATCAAACTTTGGAGTAATTTGGTTTGTCTAGCTTGACAAGAACAACCAGTACAGTGATGGTCTTTGCTCCCAGATACAATCAAAATAAACAATATTAAGTCTGATTGAAGGCGTCTCGAAGACTTGGCGTAACGCTGCGAAACAGTCCACGAATGTCTGTTATAACATCGCACCTCCTCTGTTATTTGCAGGAGGCTTTTGCAGGTGTCTTAAAGGCAGGCGTCCCAGCAGCAGCAGAAGAGTCGGCAATTTATCTTGGCTGCCTCCCAGTTTAAATCCTGCTATGACTGCGTAACCTTCGGATATTAATGGGTTTTAGGAATGTCCACATTAAGATCCACATGCTAGCAGGCACTTGTTAGTGAAAGCACAATTCCTCCTCCAGTCCTCAGATGGCCTCACCTGTGCTCTGGTCATCCTCCCAAAGGTCAGTGCCGACAGAGCAGGGAAAGCCTTCTGCTCGCGGTGACGAAGGAGTAGTAGCGCGTTGTGCTTCTGTAATCATGCCTGCTCATTTAAAGTGGTTGTAAAAGGGCATCCATAAATAAATAAATTACCGGGCTAAAACAAGGGCTTTGTCCTGTCCTCGCTTTTCAGTCTTTGTGATCTGCAGCCTCAGGGTTGAGATGCGCCACTGGGACAAAGGGAAGGGTTACAATAGGGAGGGATAAGTGACGAATAAGTGGTTTAGGGTCTCTTCCAACCGCTCCGGATCAACGCGTCCGCTCGCAGGAAAGGCTGGTTTCGGAGATCTGTGAGTAGGCATGGAGAGGGGGGTGAGAGACAGGGGGACACACATGTTAGACGACCAAGAGGTCAATCTGGACATTTGCTTCTGTTTACATCTCAATTTCTTAAGAGTGTTTTTAAGCAAGAAGAGCAGAGGATGTACACTCAGTTCTCACTTTATTAGGTACACCTAATTTATATCAGTTGTTCCCTCATTTCTGTAAATGAGGTTAAGCTAAAAAAAGAAAAGCAAATAGGAACACCTTACTGTATAATGCAGTACATGAAAACAGCACCACAAACACTTCCTCTTTTTTACAATGAAGATGAAACTATGAAAAGTTGCCTTTATTGCAGGACTGTTGTTAGTCTGCATTAGTTTGAGCTCCCTAATAAACTGACAACTGAGTGTTTATTGTTATAATTTTCAAATCCAGAAAATCTGGAAACACTTGTGCAGTTAAAACTTTGGGTTAAAGCTGAAATTGTCCATAAGAGCTACAAAATTAGCAAATGTGGCAGGAATGCCACATTCCCATAGCCTTGTATTTCAACTGCTAGAAGTTGTGCTTCAAAACGGAGAAATTCAAGGCTTTGAGACGGTGATTTTGGCAAATCAGTAACACTAAACAATGAGGACGTTACAAAGTAACCACTCTGGTTACGATACAGTGGTCAACAAGCTCTTGAGTTTGCAGATTACCAAACAGGATGGCTGTCACAGAGGAAACAAAAGTGTGGATACAGACTGTGTTCACGTAAGTTTGATTCTGTTTTCTTCTAGAGCCTGTTGACCAAATAGCTGTTGAGCACACCGCAGATGACATTTAGCACAGACAAACATGGCGGACGCTGCCGACTGGTGAGAGGTAAATAAACAATGGACAACATGCAACACGTAACAGGAAGGGGTGAGGATGCCATGGGTTACCGGTCCGTTGCCATGGTAACCCGTCCGTTGCCATGGGTTACCTGTCCGTTGCCATGCGTTTACATGCGTTGTTATGGGTTAACTGTCCGTTGCCATGCGTTTACATGCGTTGTTAAGGGTTAACTGTCCGTTGCCATGGGTTACCGGTCCGTTGCCATGGTAACCGGTCCGTTGCCATGGGTTACCGGTCTGTTGCCATGGTAACTGGTCCGTTGCCATGGTAACCGGTCCGTTGCCATGGTAACCGGTCCGTTGCCATGGGTTACCTGACCGTTGCCATGGGTTAACTGTCCGTTGCCATGCGTTAACTGTCCGTTGCCATGCGTTTACATGTGTTGTTATGGGTTAACTGTCCGTTGCCATGCGTTTACATGCGTTGTTATGGGTTAACTGTCCGTTGCCATGGGTTATCTGTCCGTTGCCATGCTTTAACATGCGTTGTTATGGGTTAACTGTCCGTTGCCATGGGTTACGGTCCGTTGCCATGGTAACCGGTCCGTTGCCATGGGTTACCGGTCCGTTGCCATGGTAACCGGTCCGTTGCCATGGGTTACCTGACAGTTGCCATGGGTTAACTGTCCGTTGCCATGCGTTAACTGTCCGTTGCCATGCGTTTACATGTGTTGTTATGGGTTAACTGTCCGTTGCCATGAGTTTACATGCGTTGTTATGGGTTAACTGTCCATTGCCATGGGTTAACTGTCCGTTGCCATGCGTTAACTGTCCGTTGCCATGCGTTTACATGCGTTGTTATGGGTTAACTGTCCGTTGCCATGGGTTATCTGTCCGTTACCATGCGTTTACATGCGTTGTTATGGGTTAACTGTCCGTTGCCATGCGTTTACATGCGTTGTTATGGGTTAACTGTCCGTTGCCATGCGTTTACATGCGTTGTTATGGTTAACTGTCCGTTGCCATGGGTTACTGGTCCGTTGCCATGGTAACCGGTCCATTGCCATGGGTTACCGGTCCGTTGCCATGGTAACTGGTCCGTTGCCATGGTAACCGGTCCGTTGCCATGGTAACCGGTCCGTTGCCATGGGTTAACTGTCCGTTGCCATGCGTTAACTGTCCGTTGCCATGCGTTTACATGTGTTGTTATGGGTTAACTGTCCGTTGCCATGCGTTTACATGCGTTGTTATGGGTTAACTGTTCGTTGCCATGGGTTAACTGACCGTTGCCATGGGTTAACTGTCCGTTGCCATGCGTTAACTGTCCGTTGCCATGCGTTTACATGCGTTGTTATGGGTTAACTGTCCGTTGCCATGGGTTATCTGTCCGTTGCCATGCGTTTACATGCGTTGTTATGGGTTAACTGTCCGTTGCCATGCGTTTACATGCGTTGTTATGGGTTAACTGTCCGTTGCCATGCGTTTACATGCGTTGTTATGGGTTAACTGTTCGTTGCCATGGGTTAACTGACCGTTGCCATGCGTTAACTGTCCGTTGCCATGCGTTAACTGTCCGTTGCCATGCGTTTACATGCGTTGTTATGGGTTAACTGTCCGTTGCCATGGGTTATCTGTCCGTTGCCATGCGTTTACATGCGTTGTTATGGGTTAACTGTCCGTTGCCATGCGTTTACATGCGTTGTTATGGGTTAACTGTCCGTTGCCATGCGTTTACATGCGTTGTTATGGGTTAACTGTCCGTTGCCATGGGTTACTGGTCCGTTGCCATGGTAACCGGTCCGTTGCCATGGGTTACCGGTCCGTTGCCATGGTAACCGGTCCGTTGCCATGGGTTAACTGTCCGTTGCCATGCGTTAACTGTCCGTTGCCATGCGTTTACATGTGTTGTTATGGGTTAACTGTCCGTTGCCATGCGTTTACATGCGTTGTTATGGGTTAACTGTCCGTTGCCATGGGTTATATGACCGTTGCCATGGGTTAACTGTCCGTTGCCATGCGTTAACTGTCCGTTGCCATGCGTTTACATGCGTTGTTATGGGTTAACTGTCCGTTGCCATGGGTTATCTGTCCGTTGCCATGCGTTTACATGCGTTGTTATGGGTTAACTGTCCGTTGCCATGCGTTACATGCGTTGTTATGGGTTAACTGTCCGTTGCCATGCGTTGACATGCGTTGTTATGGGTTAACTGTCCATTGCCATGGGTTAACTGTCCGTTGCCATGCGTTAACTGTCCGTTGCCATGCGTTTACATGCGTTGTTATGGGTTAACTGTCCGTTGCCATGCGTTTACATGCGTTGTTATGGGTTAACTGTCCGTTGCCATGCGTTTACATCCGTTGTTATGGGTTAACTGTCCGTTGCCATGCGTTTACATGCGTTGTTATGGGTTAACTGTCCGTTGCCATGCGTTTACATGCGTTGTTATGGGTTAACTGTCCGTTGCCATGGGTTACCGGTCCGTTGCCATGGTAACCGGTCCGTTGCCATGCGTTTACATGCGTTGTTATGGGTTAACTGTCCATTGCCATGGGTTAACTGTCCGTTGCCATGCGTTAACTGTCCGTTGCCATGCGTTTACATGCGTTGTTATGGGTTAACTGTCCGTTGCCATGGGTTATCTGTCCGTTGCCATGCGTTTACATGCGTTGTTATGGGTTAACTGTCCGTTGCCATGCGTTTACATGCGTTGTTATGGGTTAACTGTCCGTTGTCATGGGTTACTGGTCCGTTGCCATGGGTTAACTGTCCGTTGCCATGCGTTAACTGTCCGTTGCCATGCGTTTACATGTGTTGTTATGGGTTAACTGTCCGTTGCCATGCGTTTACATGCGTTGTTATGGGTTAACTGTCCGTTGTCATGGGTTACTGGTCCGTTGCCATGGTAACCGGTCCGTTGCCATGGGTTACCGTCCGTTGCCATGGTAACCGGTCCGTTGCCATGGGTTAACTGTCCGTTGCCATGCGTTAACTGTCCGTTGCCATGCGTTTACATGTGTTGTTATGGGTTAACTGTCCGTTGCCATGCGTTTACATGCGTTGTTATGGGTTAACTGTCCGTTGCCATGGGTTATATGACCGTTGCCATGGGTTAACTGTCCGTTGCCATGCGTTAACTGTCCGTTGCCATGCGTTTACATGCGTTGTTATGGGTTAACTGTCCGTTGCCATGGGTTATATGACCGTTGCCATGGGTTAACTGTCCGTTGCCATGCGTTAACTGTCCGTTGCCATGCGTTTACATGCGTTGTTATGGGTTAACTGTCCGTTGCCATGGGTTACCTGACCGTTGTTATGGGTTAACTGTCCGTTGCCATGCGTTTACATGCGTTGTTATGGGTTAACTGTCCGTTGCCATGGTTATATGACCGTTGCCATGGGTTAACTGTCCGTTGCCATGCGTTAACTGTCCGTTGCCATGCGTTTACATGCGTTGTTATGGGTTAACTGTCCGTTGCCATGGGTTATATGCCGTTGCCATGGGTTAACTGTCCGTTGCCATGCGTTAACTGTCCGTTGCCATGCGTTTACATGCGTTGTTATGGGTTAACTGTCCGTTGCCATGGGTTATACATGCGTTGTTATGGGTTAACTGTCCGTTGCCATGCGTTTACATGCGTTGTTATGGGTTAACTGTCCGTTGCCATGCGTTTACATGCGTTGTTATGGTTAACTGTCCGTTGCCATGGTTACTGGTCGTTGCCATGTTAACTGTCCGTTGCCATGGTTAACTGTCCGTTGCCATGCGTTTACATGTGTTGTTATGGGTTAACTGTCCGTTGCCATGCGTTTACATGCGTTGTTATGGGTTAACTGTCCGTTGCATGGGTTACTGGTCCGTTGCCATGGTAACCGGTCCGTTGCCATGGGTTACGTCCGTTGCCATGGTAACCGTCCGTTGCCATGGTTAACTGTCCGTTGCCATGGGTTAACTGTCCGTTGCCATGCGTTTACATGGTGTTATGGGTTAACTGTCCGTTGCCATGCGTTTACATGCGTTGTTATGGTTAACTGTCCGTTGCATGGTTATATGACGTTGCCATGGGTTAACTGTCCGTTGCCATGCGTTAACTGTCCGTTGCCATGCGTTTACATGCGTTGTTATGGGTTAACTGTCCGTTGCCATGGGTTATATGACCGTTGCCATGGGTTAACTGTCCGTTGCCATGCGTTAACTGTCCGTTGCCATGCGTTTACATGCGTTGTTATGGGTTAACTGTCCGTTGCCATGGGTTAACATGCGTTGTTATGGGTTAACTGTCCGTTGCCATGCGTTTACATGCGTTGTTATGGGTTAACTGTCCGTTGCCATGCGTTTACATGCGTTGTTATGGGTTAACTGTCCGTTGCCATGGGTTACTGGTCCGTTTGCCATGGTAACCGTCCGTTGCCATGGGTTACCGGTCCGTTGCCATGGTAACCGGTCCGTTGCCATGGTTACCTGACCGTTGCCATGGTTAACTGTCCGTTGCCATGCGTTTACATGTGTTGTTATGGGTTAACTGTCCGTTGCCATGCGTTTACATGCGTTGTTATGGGTTAACTGTCCGTTGCCATGCGTTTACATGCGTTGTTATGGGTTAACTGTCCGTTGCATGGGTTACTGTCCGTTGCCATGGTACCGGTCGTTGCCATGGTACCGGTCCGTTGCCATGGTTAACTGTCCGTTGCCATGGTAACGTCCGTTGCCATGGGTTAACTGTCGTTGCCATGCGTTAACTGTCCGTTGCCATGCGTTTACATGTGTTGTTATGGGTTAACTGTCCGTTGCCATGCGTTTACATGCGTTGTTATGGGTTAACTGTCCGTTGCCATGGGTTATATGACCGTTGCCATGGGTTAACTGTCCGTTGCCATGCGTTAACTGTCCGTTGCCATGCGTTACATGCGTTGTTATGGGTTAACTGTCCGTTGCCATGCGTTTACATGCGTTGTTATGGGTTAACTGTCCGTTGCCATGCGTTTTACATGCGTTGTTATGGGTTAACGGTCCGTTGCCATGCGTTTACATGCGTTGTTATGGGTTAACTGTCCGTTGCCATGCGTTTACATGCGTTGTTATGGGTTAACTGTCCGTTGCCATGCGTTTACTGCGTTGTTATGGTTAACTGTCCGTTGCCATGCGTTTACATGCGTTGTTATGGTTAACTGTCCGTTGCCATGCGTTTACATGCGTTGTTATGGGTTAACTGTCCGTTGCCATGGGTTACTGCCGTTGCCATGGTTAACTGTCCGTTGCCATGCGTTTACATGCGTTGTTATGGGTTAACTGTCCGTTGCCATGGGTTATCTGTCCGTTGCCATGCGTTTACATGCGTTGTTATGGGTTAACTGTCCGTTGCCATGCGTTTACATGCGTTGTTATGGTTAACTGTCCGTTGCATGGTTACTGTGTTATGGGTTAACTGTCCGTTGCCATGCGTTTACATGCGTTGTTATGGGTTAACTGTCCGTTGCCATGGGTTACTGTCCGTTGCCATGGTTAACGGTCCGTTGCCATGGTAACGGTCCGTTGCCATGGTTACTGTCCGTTGCCATGGGTTAACTGTCCGTTGCCATGCGTTTCATGTTGTTATGGTTAACTGTCCGTTGCCATGCGTTTACATGCGTTGTTATGGGTTAACTGTCCGTTGCCATGCGTTTACATGCGTTGTTATGGGTTAACTGTCCATTGCCATGGGTTAACTGTCCGTTGCCATGGTACCGTCCGTTGCATGGGTTACGTCCGTTGCCATGGTAACGTCGTTCCATGGTTGCTTCATGGGTTAACTGTCCGTTGCCATGCGTTAACTGTCCGTTGCCATGCGTTTACATGGTTTTATGGTTAACTGTCCGTTGCCATGGTTTACATGCGTTGTTATGGGTTAACTGTCCTTGCCATGGGTTAACTGTCCGTTGCCATGCGTTAACTGTCCGTTGCCATGCGTTTACATGCGTTGTTATGGGTTAACTGTCCGTTGCCATGGTTATCTGTCGTTGCCATGCGTTTACATGCGTTGTTATGGGTTAACTGTCCGTTGCCATGCGTTGTTGGGTTAACTGTCCGTTGCCATGCGTTTACATGCGTTGTTATGGGTTAACTGTCCGTTGCCATGGGTTACTGGTCCGTTGCCATGGTAACCGGTCCGTTGCCATGGGTTACCGGTCGTTGCCATGGTAACCGGTCCGTTGCCATGGTACCGTCCGTTGCCATGGTAACCGGTCCGTTGCCATGGGTTAACTGTCCGTTGCCATGCGTTAACTGTCCGTTGCCATGCGTTTACATGTGTTGTTATGGGTTAACTGTCCGTTGCCATGCGTTTACATGCGTTGTTATGGGTTAACTGTCGTTGCCATGGGTTACCTGACCGTTGCCATGGGTTAACTGTCCGTTGCCATGCGTTAACTGTCCGTTGCCATGCGTTTACATGTGTTGTTATGGGTTAACTGTCCGTTGCCATGGGTTATCTGTTCGTTGCCATGCGTTTACATGCGTTGTTATGGGTTAACTGTCCGTTGCCATGCGTTTACATGCGTTGTTATGGGTTAACTGTCCGTTGCCATGGGTTACTGGTCCGTTGCCATGGTAACCGGTCCGTTGCCATGGGTTACCGGTCCGTTGCCATGGTAACCGGTCCGTTGCCATGGGTTAACTGTCCGTTGCCATGCGTTAACTGTCCGTTGCCATGCGTTTACATGTGTTGTTATGGGTTAACTGTCCGTTGCCATGCGTTTACATGTGTTGTTATGGGTTAACTGTCCGTTGCCATGGGTTATATGACCGTTGCCATGGGTTAACTGTCCGTTGCCATGCGTTAACTGTCCGTTGCCATGCGTTTACATGCGTTGTTATGGGTTAACTGTCCGTTGCCATGGGTTATCTGTCCGTTGCCATGCGTTTACATGCGTTGTTATGGGTTAACTGTCCGTTGCCATGCGTTTACATGCGTTGTTATGGGTTAACTGTCCGTTGCCATGCGTTGTCATGCGTTGTTATGGGTTAACTGTCCATTGCCATGGGTTAACTGTCCGTTGCCATGCGTTAACTGTCCGTTGCCATGCGTTTACATGCGTTGTTATGGGTTAACTGTCCGTTGCCATGGGTTATCTGTCCGTTGCCATGCGTTTACATGCGTTGTTATGGGTTAACTGTCCGTTGCCATGCGTTTACATGCGTTGTTATGGGTTAACTGTCCGTTGCCATGCGTTTACATCCGTTGTTATGGGTTAACTGTCCGTTGCCATGCGTTTACATGCGTTGTTATGGGTTAACTGTCCGTTGCCATGCGTTTACATGCGTTGTTATGGGTTAACTGTCCATTGCCATGGGTTAACTGTCTGTTGCCATGCGTTAACTGTCCGTTGCCATGCGTTTACATGCGTTGTTATGGGTTAACTGTCCGTTGCCATGGGTTATCTGTCCGTTGCCATGCGTTTACATGCGTTGTTATGGGTTAACTGTCCGTTGCCATGCGTTTACATGCGTTGTTATGGGTTAACTGTCCGTTGTCATGGGTTACTGGTCCGTTGCCATGGGTTAACTGTCCGTTGCCATGCGTTAACTGTCCGTTGCCATGCGTTTACATGTGTTGTTATGGGTTAACTGTCCGTTGCCATGCGTTTACATGCGTTGTTATGGGTTAACTGTCCGTTGTCATGGGTTACTGGTCCGTTGCCATGGTAACCGGTCCGTTGCCATGGGTTACCGTTCCGTTGCCATGGTAACCGGTCCGTTGCCATGGTAACCGGTCCGTTGCCATGGGTTAACTGTCCGTTGCCATGCGTTAACTGTCCGTTGCCATGCGTTTACATGTGTTGTTATGGGTTAACTGTCCGTTGCCATGCGTTTACATGCGTTGTTATGGGTTAACTGTCCGTTGCCATGGGTTATATGACCGTTGCCATGGGTTAACTGTCCGTTCCCATGCGTTTACATGCGTTGTTATGGGTTAACTGTCCGTTGCCATGGGTTAACATGCGTTGTTATGGGTTAACTGTCCGTTGCCATGCGTTTACATGCGTTGTTATGGGTTAACTGTCCGTTGCCATGCGTTTACATGCGTTGTTATGGGTTAACTGTCCGTTGCCATGGGTTACTGGTCCGTTGCCATGGTAACCGGTCCGTTGCCATGGGTTACCGGTCCGTTGCCATGGTAACCGGTCCGTTGCCATGGTAACCGGTCCGTTGCCATGGGTTACCTGACCGTTGCCATGCGTTAACTGTCCATTGCCATGCGTTTACATGTGTTGTTATTGGTTAACTGTCCGTTGCCATGCGTTTACATGCGTTGTTATGGGTTATCTGTCCGTTGCCATGCGTTAACATGCGTTGTTATGGGTTAACTGTCCGTTGCCATGGTTTACTGGTCTTTTTAGCAGCTCACAACAGTGGCTTACACACATCATCAGTGATCAGCTGTCAAAGAAAGGTGGACATTTAGCATCTTAAATGATGGCTCTAAGGCTACGTTCACACTGCAGGCGAAAGTGCATCAAATCCGATTTTTCTGACCCTGTGCGACCCATATCCGATCATGCTATGACAGTGTGAACGGCGCAAATCCGATCTGGGTCACTTTCGTATGTGGTACTGAATCTGATACATATCTGATGTTTTAGAAAGCGACTGCTGTTTGAATGGTCATGTCGCATTAAATCCGTCTTTTACGTCACCGACACAAGACAGACGCCAATTATCAGCGCCGGAGAAGCGCCCAATAAGACATCGCGAACGCTTCCTGGCCATCCCGTGTAGATGTCAGTGAAACTGTTGGGAAGACAACGTTGGAGAAACGTGATTATTTTATTTGTACTGTATAATCTGCAGATTCTGACAGAAATCTGCAGCTATCCTTTGAAGCACCGCTCCTCTCTAAAACAGCAATAAGGATCATTATTAAGTTATCTACATTATTATGTAAATAACAAAATAAAGTCTGAAGTCTTTATATTAAGGGCCATCAGTCAAACAATACTGTTTGCTCTGGGTCTAAACAGAGCGCGTTGTGTGTGACGTCTTCTTTTGCGCATGCGGGCCGCTTTGAGCGTTCACACTAGAGCGCGTTTGCTGTCGCATTTTATTTGTAGTGTGAACACGCAGACAAAAAAATTGGATTTGATCAAAAAATCGGAATTGAGCATTAAGACCTGCAGTGTGAACGTAGCCTAACTCTCAGGTGTACTCCAGGATAACTTGTTAGGTTCAGCGTCGGCCATCCCTGTGTAAAACTCAAGTCTTAGACATTTTCGTGTGAAGTGAGGCCAGTTGCTGTAGCACAGTATCCTGTACTGGGTGAATGGGTAGCTGCAGAGTCCGTGTTGTGTTTACATGTGTTTAAAAAGATCTTAATAAAGCTTAATGAATTTACTGGTTCTCTGTCATTACACAACAGGCAAAGTGTACTACTTCAACCACATCACTAATGCCAGCCAGTGGGAACGTCCAGTGGGAGACGGACGTGGCGAGCCAGATAAGGTTGTGTGTAATGTTTAGTTTAGTTTTTTTTTGTTTGTTTTTTTTATGCACGTGATGAGTCAGTGCTACTTTCCCTAAAGAGGTACTGAAACACGTTTTACATGGCATGTTCAGATTCCAGCTAGGGTACTGGTAATGCCTGCAAATTATTTATGATTCGACAACTATTGTGAAAAATCATTTTGGCCGGGGGATAGCGTTCTCCAGGATAACATTTGAAATGTTCTTGTAAGACATCAGGGAGCTGCCTGCAATATGACACGTATGCATTTAAATAGTGATAGGAGGAACGGTGCAGAGAAATGGAATCCAGTCATTAACAGTATTTAATATTTCACATAATTATTAATAAAGACTGATGGACAACTGTGTGCTTTTACTTAGCTAATGGTTATCGTCATTGCTGATCAGTATGTATCTTATCTTATCACAATACTTAGTTATGAAGCAGACAGGGGGGAAAAAACCATCAACAGCACCACCTGGTGGACTGAAACAGTAATTAATTTTATTATTCTAGGACTAAGCAATTTAGTTGTTGTTGTTTTTTTTCTTTTACACTTGCGACTTATGTAATGTTGATTGGTGTTCTTGTATGTTCATGACATCTGGTGGAAGGTCAAAGGAAGAACCAGTCAAATGTAGTTGTAGGGCTGCATGACTTGCTGTAAAGTTGAAATTCTGCCATCCAAATTGTAAAGTGGTTCTGATACTCCAACATCTGGAGTGTTAACACACAAATACTGATATATTTGTATATGTATATATTTTTTAAAATTCAGGTACGCTGCTCTCATCTCTTGGTGAAGCATAATCAGTCGCGTCGTCCATCTTCCTGGAGGGAACAAAACATTACACGATCTAAAGATGAGGCCTTGGATTTGATTCAGAGTAAGTAAGGCAGCATGGAGAGGAGATTTTACGAAGTCTGATGAATGCATTTAATATCTTCTGTCTTATGTGCAGAGTACATAGAACAGATCAAGTCTGGACAGGAGAAGTTTGAGTCCCTGGCATCTCAGTTTAGCGACTGCAGCTCCGCTAAGAATGGTGGAGATCTGGGACTGTTTGGTAGAGGTATGCACGGCGTGATGTCATTCTCTGTTCAGTGCAGTCTCTCATTCAGCATCTCCTTCATCTGTTTTTCTGAATAAAACAAAATCCTGCACATAGCTCTCCATCAAGTGATCAAACATTCAGTGCATGAATAACTGATAGTAGTGACAAGTTAAACCAGCAATTTGTGAGCACAGTTTAATTCCATATTTGTCACACGTTTCAAACATCAATCCCTAATTTCCCTCGGGATTAATAAAGTATTCTGATTCTGATTTTCAATATGAGACAAGGATAACCAGAGTAAATACAGAAGTTGCAGTTTTTACCCCTCGGCCGTAAAAAGCCGATGTGGTATTGTCGTCACTCCGCCTGATGCATGGGTGGCATGAATGCACAAGTTTGTGAATGCGATAACTCAAAGCAAAGTTCACACTATAGGTGTATCTCCTAAGAATCTCGGGCAAGTTCAAATTTCATTAACCTCAACCTAAATGTAGGGCTGCTCGATTATGGCAAAAATGATAATCACGATTATTTTCACTGAAATCGAGATCTCGATTATTTGACGATATTTATTTAACAATAACAATGTATTGAATAATGACTTTAAAAAATAATATAAAATAGTGTGCAAATACTGATAACAGTGCAAATGTTTGCAATATAAAAAATAAATGAAAAATGTAAACATCTATGTTTAGTGAACTTTGCAGTGTTGGCCTGTGGTGCAGCTACCACACTGTAGCAGAGTTTACACACTATGTCTACTTGATCCACATCTGACTCTGCGAACCCATAATGGTTTTTTGTTTTGTTTTTAACCTCTCTTTTCAACCAGCGGCAGTCACTCTCCTCTCCAAATAACTTCTGCTTAGCTTTCCGAGCTTCCCTCGGGTCCTCTTAATTGTTGTGACGCGTGTTCGAAATGCAGAGAGGTGCGCTCGATTTGCCACACGGAGCAGCGCGAGAGTAAAGCACGAGGGAGGGGCTAATAATCGGCTCAGTCATTTTTAATGATCGTTGAAAGCCCAGATCGTAATCGTGATTAAAATTCGATTAATTGAGCAGCCCTACCTAAATGTCAATATTAGAGGTGAAGTTTTCTGAAAAATCTTGTGAATGCGATAAAGAAGGAAGTCTCAATTTTCAAATTTATACCATAGGAGCATCAGCCACGAGGCTTTAAGGCTTTAGGGGTAGCACTGGTGACTGCCAGTTATTTTAAGTGATGACCTCATTTATTATGATCATCTGAAACACCAGCAAGTCCACCTCTGAATGTAGCTTTGTGTTGAGCTGATCTGGCCATTGGTTCTTGAAAACCCTCCAATGTGGCTGAATTAAAACATTTTGCAAAGAAGAGTTGGCCCAAATTTGTCCACAGCGAAGTGAAAAAGATTATTGGCAGTTATTACTAGCATTTGTTTGACCTGAAACTGTACATTAGGCTTGTAGGAGCTGTTTTTTTGTTGTTACCTTTGTGTGCCACTAGGGGTCACTTTTTGAATGTTTATGGTGTCTTACTTAAGGTATGCACAGGTAATTATCAGAGGGTGTTGTTGTTCGGAAGGAGCAAACGGTTTGTGACACGCTGGAAACTAAGAGAACTGTTGAACAACAAATGCAACCAATTGAAAGCATTAAAGGTGTTAAATGGGCAAGATAAGCACAGCTGGATTTATTGGATTTTCTCAAGTTTCATTCATAAGAGTGGCACCGCGTCACCCCCGCCATCGAACACCTAAGTGGCTTCAAGTGTAGGCTTAGCCTGTACAAGCCTGTTATCTAGCTGCACAAACTCTGTAGAACTGAATAAAAGAAATTAATGTAATTAATCATGTAAATTAGCTAATATGTCATTAATATGAAATAGTCATACAAATGAATGATTACCTATAGATGCACGTGCTGATGTGCATCATGTTGTATGAGTTTTTATTTGGATAATGGCTCAGTGTGTGTTTCTGCTTTAGGTCAGATGCAGAAGCCTTTTGAAGACGCCTCCTTTGCTCTCAAAGTGGGAGACATGAGCGGCCCTGTTTTTACTGACTCTGGAGTCCACATCATCTTACGCACTGGTTGACAAGAAGACTCCACACGTTGTACTTTCCTCTTCCATCATCAAGCACACATACAAAGTCTAACCCAGTCAATCCTGCAGATTATTTTAATGGCACATAGCACCCCAGTAAACAAAGCTTAAAGCCTGCATCGCATCATTTGAGGCAGGATCCGTTTGTTCCAAGCACCATTAAACGATTATTCTTTAAGATCTTTTATTAACGATGACAGTGCCTGTTGAAGTGACCGCCCTATGGAAACTTTCATATAAGTGAGGATTATTTAAAGTCTACTTGGTATGTGCATGACTTCTAAAGGACCACTTACTGTATGTTTCCCCATAAGATTTCCCATTTCCACTGTATGTGTGCCAAAGCAGTTCCTTAACTGTTTTGGAAAATAGGTTCAAATACTTTCTAATATTAGCAGCATCCCTGCAGATGGAGAAAGCACTGTTGTTCTGAGTTTACTAGAGTTAATCTTTGTGTTTTCCATTATTCAAAAAATGGAATTATTTCTTTACACAATCCACTCTGAAAACGCATGATTTCTGGCCTTTGGATATGCCTTGATGGCACCGCTGAAAGCTTGCAGGTTTTAACAATAATCTCCACAGCTTTTAAAACCATCAATGTTCAGATGAACTGTTAACACTGTTGTGTCATTGAGGCAAAAATAAAATCTCCTTTTGTAAGTCTGGTTTTTGTTATTTCCATGATTTAACCACCTTCAAGCGTTTCCAGTTTAGAAACTCTTTAGGAAGAGACAGGAAGTGACTAAAGTGTAGATTGTATATCGGTTTTAAACCTCTGATCTGGTGTTATGTGTTGGGTCTTCAAAACAGGTGTGTATAGATCCTTAGTTTTTGTATGCGAGGCTTTTCTTTTTCATAGCCTATAAAAATAAAGACCTTTCAAACGTGTGAGCAATGCAGCGCATTAAAGGAAAACTACTTCTTGCTTCTCATCCCAACAAAGGACATCTATAGGGGAAAAAAGGTTCCAAATGAAAAATATTAAAGGACAAATGGAAACAACAAACCGCATAAAACTGATGTAATTAAAATCTGTAAAAGCTGCTGTCAAATACTCATATTTAGGCTGTCATAAAGCACAATAATAGACATTAATTTCTGGGATGTTAGGTTTGTTTTCAAGTTGATTTATAGAAATGAAAAACTGTTTGGTGTCAACCATTGATTGGTGTAGTGGTTAACACCACACATATGTTTGACCTCGTTCAGTGCCCAAGTCTGTTCTACATAAACCTTAGTGTTGCAATTTAGTCATATCTTTAAATGTATCTTTTTAATGTACCCACAGACATGTACTGGTGGTTCTGTAGTCTCTAGACGTCTTGACTGTAAAGCCCTGGTTCTCCCTTGGCAAATGTTTTCAACATTTCACCACTATCTCCTTTCACTTTTCATACGTAAGTTGTCTTGGATTCCTCCCAATGCTTTTATGTGTTTCCCATTCTCAGAATCAGCTCTGTTTGTAAACACACCTGACCTCTTTCACAAGCTGTTTTCTGCAGTGAAAATAACAAATCACAAGTTTTTATTGGTCAATTATTGCTTAAGCATGCGTGTCAACTTCACTACGAGGCATGTACATAAAATTAACGTCTAAATCTTTAATCTGAATTTTTATAAATAATCATGCTAATCATGATTGGGCCATTTGACACCATCACATCTGGACAAAAAACGTTTCTCTTATAGAAAATGTTATAAAGGCTGTGTGGAAGTTCCTCAAACCATATGCATTATAGTGCTGTGAGATACAGCAAGTTTTGGTATTGATCTGATATCAAATACAGTCCCAGGACTGCTGATGCCAATACACATGTGCACATATACACATACTTTTAACATAAGAAGGGCAGCTTTGTTGGGGAGATTATGGAGTGTGTCATGACTTATTAATCATCATTATTCTGAACATATTTTAATGATCCCTAACTCACTGGGATTTTTACATTGCACTTAAATTAGTTAACACGACAAAAAACACCTTTTTGGAGATCTGGCGTGTAAATATGCCTGAAAGTCAGAAATTGACCCATTTCTGTTGTTTAAATGTGCAAAAGACTATTAACATGTGACAGTCAACACAAAAAGGTTCAGACAGTTTTCATAGTGTGTTTTCATTCAGTGGGCTACAGACTGAACTTGGAGGATAGAAATAAAGTATTGATCGTACGTTGCTATTATTGATCCGATACCAATACCTGCATTGGTATTGATACTATCGACTGCCGTGTTCTTTCTAAAGGCCAGCAGAGAAAAACTCCTGTAGATCACGTTATAAAAGAATATATGTAAGTAACCACAGAGAAAACTGTGGGGTCCTTTTATTTTGAGAGAAGATGAGTAAAGTCAAAGTATAAGTTTTCGAAATTTATTAGGCGGGTAAAGGTTCAAATTAAGATGGCTGCTGTGCCTCTTCCTCTGTTTAGTGAGCCAAACGGACAAAGGTCACTGCATCCAAGCAGTAAACACTTTTATCATGAGTCACACAAACAGAATATTAATATGATTGGTTAAAAAGTTGGGGAGTAGCTGTGGTTTATACTTGGCTTTTCCCTTATTTGGGATTTGGTCTGGCTCTCGCTCATCATACATCTCCAGCAGTGGGCATCTCCCTGTGGAGAGATGGAGAGAAAACTCCTCCCTACACACACACACCAGAATTTACAGCCTCCAGTACTTTTCCAGGGCATCCTGACTCCAGTCTGCACACGAGTGTGTATTCTGCTGCACACCCTGCACAATGCACAAATAGAGTAAAAGAAATCAGTTCCAACAAAACACTAATTTGATTCATGCTATGCAGTTTGAAGCATAAGCTTGTGTCGTTTTGGTCATGTTAGTGTTTTGGAGCCAGAAGTTTGCATACTTGGACAACATGATGGAGTGCTAATTTAGCAGCTCATTCTAGTTACCTTGATTCACAAGCTGTCTTCATAAACGGTGTCGGTGCAACAGGCACACATAAAAGCTATTTAGTGCTAAAGATTAGACTAATATGACACTAAGATGTATAACAATATAAGTATTTCCCCAAAATAAAGCACAAACCTCTACACCACCCAGAAATTTTGTTAATATAACCACAAATTCAGCTCAGGGTACAATTTAAGAAAAAAAATATTATTGACCATTTTGAAAATAGACTCAAAATTTTGACATAAAAGTCAAAATGTGGAGATTACACTTGTTCTTTCAAGACAAACTGCCACAGTTATTAGTGAAATCGTATTTCAGAATCGGTTTTAATAAGGAAATAATTTCTCTTTCAGCACATAAACACGGTGTGGTGATAAATTAAAAAGATTGTGCACGAAGATTCACCTGGTCAGATGGATAAACCACACAAACTTGGAAGAGTGGATTGTACAAAATGAAATGGATGGTAAAGGACAGATGAAAGGCTTTCAGTGGTCACAGCCTCGTGCTATAAAGAGGATGCTCTAGATTAAATATGAATCCTGACTTTATGGAAATCTATGAGAAAATGACCACTTGAATAAGATAAGATAAGATAAGATAAGATAACCTTTGTTAGTCCCACACGTGGGAAATTTGTTTTGTCACAGCAGGAAGTGGACAGTGCAAAAGTTATGAGGCAAAAATTAGAATACAATAAGAATAAATACAGTACACAACTGTATAGAATAGAATAAAATACTATATACAGTAGAATAAAATAAAATAAATATACAATAAGATAAAAATAGAATACAAATACAAATACTATATACAACTGAGTAAAAATACAACGATGACAGAAAGGATTATTGCACTTAGTATAGTGACCTAGTGACCTAGTATAGTGACTTAGAATAGTGACCACGGTAAGGAACCTTATTGTTGATGTGTCTCAATTACTAGTTTAAAGTCTCCTTCAGTACAATATAATGTTTGTTTTTTATATTTTGTCTGTCATGTTAGGTCTCATAGTATTCTCTACTCAAACTCCAGAAAGATTTAAATGTTACCTGTGGGTTGACTCTTCAAATGTGTGTGTGTGTGTTTATTTACCCACAAATATTTACTGTTGGTTCTGCAGTTTGTAAATATTTAATCTAAAGTCTGTGTTCTCCAAAGGCAGATGTTTTTACCATTGCTATCTTTGCCCTGTTTGTTTCCCCTTGTTTCACCCCATCTCCTGTCACTTCTCGTACGCAGTGTCCTTGGATTCCTCCCAGTTGCCTTTATATGTTTCCCATTCTCAGAATCAGCTGTTTGTGAACAGGCCTGACCTCTTTCACGAGCTGTTTCCTGCAGTGAAAATAACAAAATATAACAGTTTCTTTTACATGTTTAACCCTGGAGAACCCATGGGGTCAGAGCCGACCCCACTGGTTTACTAGGGAAACCATGGGGTCAAATTTGACCCCATGGGTTCTCCAGGGTTAAGTATGCATTACAAAGTGTTATCTTCTTTACTACTTTTAATTAGCATAGCATAAAATCCAAGGTAAGGTCCAAAGATAGTATTTTTCTAACTAATTTGGCCATCAAAAACTATTCTATACAGGCGAAACAGTTTAGAGGCTGATTTGGTTTGTTTTATCAGACTGTATATAAAAGATGGACATGGATTTCAGGTCTGAAACATGAAACCACTGAAAATGTCCTAAATCTGCATTTTTTTGTTTTTGTCCTCTGCATGTAGGTGGAGGGTTTACATTTTTCCTACACGTTTCCTGTAGCTTCTCTCTGACAAGCAGAAGCTGAATTTCTTGCTCATAGGGGGTCATATGATCGTTGGGTTTTTCTCTGTATCTATTATTGTACGATCTACTGCACAATATAAACCGCCTTGAGGTGACTGCTGTTGTGATTTGGCGCTATATAAATAAAATTGAATTGAATTGAATTGTGTTAAATACACTTGAGAAATCAAAGAAAGTGATCCTTAATGTGTAGGTATTGCTATCAAGGGGGAATTAAGGCCTCTAGATTAGATTAGATTAGATTAGATTAGATTAGATTAGATTAGATTAGATTAGATTAGATTCTATAGAACTTTATTAATCCCTCGGATGGGTTCCTCCAGGAAATTCAGTTTCCAGTTGCAGAATATCGAGAGAAGTTCCATGTTACAGAGTTAGAATATAAATATAAATAGAGGGGGATGTAAATGCATGTAAATGGTCCAGTCATCCACTTTCAGATTTGGCATGTCTGTGAATTGCACAGATGTTTCACCTGTGGTCTTCAGCAGGCTGAGACTATTTTCTCCAGTACCATCATCACAGTGATGTTAGGGAAACAGGTCAATAAATAAACCAGTGCTGTGAAACTCATCCTGGTTTTTACACTGAAAAAGTCACAAGCATCTCAGTTTAGCAACTATCAACTGTTACATCACAGCTGATGAAAGTTGAGTCATTTCTCCTTACTTTTGATTCATAGCACTGTAATATAAACTGGATCACACAATGGTTCATGCGTGATAATAAATTGATACAATACGGTCACTCTACCCTAAATATGTTGTCAGAGACTGGGTGGGTATTAAAAGGTAAATAGGATTATAAATTGTATCAATAATGCAAAATATTGTATCAACTATTGTAACGGAATTCCTTGGAAATGTTAAATACAGAGTTAAAAAGTTTTGTATTTACTAATTAGATTGTGTAAAACGTCATTCTGACTTAACTCTGCTTTAAGTCAGTTTA